TTGATAGGGCAGAACTTAGGTAGGTGGGAAAAACTAAACTGAATGCTGGGAGAAAGGAGGCAGAGTCAGGGAGAAGCCATAGAGCCACTGCCAGAGACAGACACAGTAAAAACCTTGCCAGTAGGCCATGACCCTTGTGGTAAAATATAAAACAATGGAGATGGGTTAATTCTAGATGTAAGAGCTACCTAACAATACACTTAAGTGATTGGCCAAGCAGTGATGTAAATCATATGATTTCTGTGTAATCATTTCGGGTCTGAGCTGCTGGGCGGCTGGGAAACAAACTGTCTTACTACAACATTCAATAGCTATAATTTATGAATAGTTTGTTCTTTTGAGTAAAAAAGGGGGGATAGTGATTGCATGATGCCCTGGGCTCAAATTTCTGCTCCAAAAGAGTTATTTACATTGCAAAGCATCACTGGCTGGACAGCCTCCACCCTTTGCCATGCCCTAGGACTGCTTCTGTGCACTTCTCGTCTGTGGTGGCTATTTTTTTTGTCAGCAGCACAGAATCTAGAATCACCTGGGAAGATAGTCTCAGTGAGGCATATCTAGACCAGGTAGGCTTGAGGGTATGTCTGTAGAGGATGGTCTCGATAGTGTTAATCAAGGGGCAAAGATGCACCCATTGCAAGCTGCACTGTTCTCTGGGTTCGGGTCCTGAACTGTGTAAGCATAAAGAAGACAATGAAAATTTGTCTTCTTACTTGTCAAAAGACAAGTGAGCATTCATGACCTCATCCCCACTCTGCTTCCAGACCGCTGATGCAATACAACCAACTGACCTCGTATTTCTCTCACCATGATGCATTCTGCCCCTCCACAATGGTTAAGTCATCATAAAGCCTTTTTCCTTGTCTTAGCTACTTCTCTATTGTCATGATAAAACACCATGATCAGATCACTTGTAGAATAGTTCCAGAGGGTTAAGAGTTCATGACCATCATGGCCAAGAGTATGGGAGCAGTCAGGCAGGCATGACATTCAAACAGTAGCTGAGAGCTCATATCTGACCCACAAGTACAAGACAGAGAGAGAGAGTTAAAAATGGTGTGGGCTTTTTGAAACCCCCAAAACCAACCCCCAGTGACACATTTCTTCCAACAAACTATACCTCTTAATCCCTTCCAAATAGTTCTACCAATAGTTGAGGGACCATTCTCATCCAAACCACAACACTCCTCTGAATTGTCAGGGTTTTTTTTTTTTTTTTTTTAAGTACAAAACTAATCAGAATGTATTTTTTACTCTACACTGTTAAGGATTTTTAGAGACTCAATTTTAAAAAAGACAGTTTGAAATACAGAATTATATATATAAATCAAGAGAAGCAATGACCATCTAAGCAAAAAATAAAATGATGGTACCAAAGAGAGGCTGAACAGCTCGGGCCAGAGCTCTTAACTGGAGAAGTGTTTTGAGTAGATTTCTTGCAGGTACTTCCTCTGTATATTCAAGGGGCTATAAATGTTGGGCTCACTTAGTGTGCTCTGGATTGAGAGCAAGATGACATCATACAGGTCAGACCACTTATCTCCGGGGATGGCAGGCAGATGTTGCCTTAGGTGTCCACACTGGAGCTGTTGCAGGTGTGAGGAATTTGGCTATGGATACATGGTAAGGGTAGCCACTAGGGGATTCTAGGGGAAGACTATTCCTCAGATCTTCATTCATTATATTAGCTTCTTCAAGGGTGGCCCCTAGTCATTTGAATAGATTATCTGACCGACTACTGCTACAGCCTGTGCTCCACGGGGACTGGGAAGCGCTCTAGCTGGTCTGGGCTCCTTTGCAGATGTGGCAGCAACAGGATCACCATTTGAGAATCCATCTGCTGGTGCTAGCAGGAGGCTCCCTTAAGTTGTTTTTTATTAGGACATTTTTATCACAGAAAAAAAAATGACACTACAGCCCCATAGATCACAAGAGATATTACTGCTTCCTAAAGGACATTCTCATTTGGTTTTTACTGCAAGAATATGGTGCAGAGGGGTGAACTCTCAACTGATCGGGGTTTCTCCCCCACTCCTAGGATACAGGCTGTGTTATCAATTATCTCCCAGATAAAATTGCCACTAGATTGATTGTTTGACAGTGAGCAAGGCAAATCATACTCTTATGTATAACAAATAAAAATCATTTTGTCATTACAGATCCTGTGAAAACACTTTAGAGATGACCCCGGGAAAGAATGTATTGGGAAAGGGAAGAAACAAAGGGTTTCTCCAGCCTCCGACCTGGGAAGGGGATTCAAAGGCTCTAGAGCACCCGTATTCTCCCCCGGCGTTCCACCCTTGTCTTTAGAAGGATCTGTTAGCTAAACTATGGGAACTAGTAACTCACGACAGGACAGTATAGAGCTGCAACCACAGTAGCAATGGCTGAGTGGACCATGGAGCTGAGCCCATGGTGCCACTCCAGATGGCAACCAACTGTGTCAGAGAGCATCCTTGAGAATGTCCTGAATCAAGCAGGAGCACAAGTCTCACTGGGATCTTTTAAGGAGACAGAGGTGAATTCTTGGTTCAGGCTGGCTTAACTCAAAGGATTAAGGTCCCAGAAACTCAACAGCCACCCACGTCACTCTGAGCCAGTGGATCCCGGATTCACTGTCTTAACAATGCAAAGTATGATGAGCAAGGGGAGCAGATGAAAAGCTGGCAAATCTTTGGTGGGGTAGAGAAGCAGCTCCCTCTGAGGGAGGAGATTCAAAAGTGAGACCCCCTTTTAGATAAAGCGATTAAGCCCGACTGGGTCGGCTGAAACACTGCTGTCTACCTGAAGAGAACGCATGTGGGGGGAATCTGGTTGGGAGCGGGAGGGGGGCGGGGAGGGGATAAGGTGGGAGAGAGAAAGAACACGCTCAAAGAAAAGCCTGCTGCTGGGAGGCCAGCAGGAGGAAGCCCTTTCAAGGGGAGGTGTGGAGGAAGAGAGGTGGGGTGGTGAGATGAAGGAGGGATTTAGGGAGGAGGAAAGCGGCTTAAGAACCTGAGCATGAGGGGGGCAAGGGTTCCTGGGCAGCCATTGTCAGGACAAATGACAGTCGATGGTCAGTCATAATCTTTAATCAATTGGGCCTTTTAAAGTTCACAGCTTCTGAGTTAAATCTACCGAGAATGGATGTTTCGTCACACAGAAGCCTAGTTCAGTACTCAGAGCCGGGTCTGTGCCTGGGGGCAGGAGAACAGACTCTGAGCTAAACCTACAGCTCTTGAGCCAATGTCGCAGATCATAGAGGTCTCCTCAATGTCGCAGATCATAGGGTCTCCTCAACATCACAGATCACAGGGGTCTACTCTCCACGGTGGCTGTTTGTGTTGTTCATGGGGAGGCCTTCTGCAAGTCTGCAGACGACTGCTTCTGAGATGAGTTTACCGAGAAACCAGCCCTGCCACTTCATAAAGGTTTTCCTGCAGAAGTCTCTTAACCTTATCTACTGGGGGGGTGGGGGTGGGGGGAGGTTAGGGGAGGTGGGTGGGAAGCTACCCTACCTTCCTCTCCATCACAAGGACAAGTGGAACTACCTAAATGCCCAACTGGTAAAGGTTATTTCAAACCAGCTGGTTCTGAGTGAAATAATAACCCCAGAAACCTGACGCCACCACTGGCATTAGGACTGTACTAACCCTGTCCCCCTTTTATTTTTGACAGGGTTTTTCTGTACTGCTCTGGCTGTCCTGGGACTTGCTCTGTATGCCAGTTTGGCTTTGAACTCAAGGATTCACCTGCCTGTGTGCCTGCCTCACTAGTGCTGGGATTAAAGGTGTGTGCCGCCATGCCCAGCCAGCCAGCCCTGCTGCTGCTTCTTCTTCTTCTTCTTCTTCTTCTTCTTCTTCTTCTTCTTCTTCTTCTTCTTCTTCTTCTTCTTCTTCTTCTTCTTCTGAAGTATTTCTCTTTATTAATTGATTTTTATTGAGCTCTACATTTTTCTCTGCCCCCCTCTCTGCCTCTCTCCTTTCCTTCAACCCTCTCCCAAGGTCCCCGTGTTCCCAATTTACTCAGGAGATCTTGTCTTTTTCTACTTCCCATGTCTTTCCTAGGGTCCTCATTGTTGTCTAGGTTCTCTGGAATTGTGATTTGTAGACTGGTTTTCTTTGCTTTATGTCTAAAAGCCACTTATGAGTGAGTCCCTGCTTCTCAAGCAGGCTTAATAAGACCCAGTAAAATTTCCATCAGACCAATTAAGAAACTATGGATGGGGCTGGAGAGATGGCACAGTGTTAAGAGCTGGTACCACCTTTGCAGAGAACCTGAGCACCCACATTGGGTAACTCACAACTCCCTCTTAACTCTAGCTGGAAGGGATCCTGTACTCTTCCGGACTCAAGTGCACACCCACACATCCACGGACACGCACATAGTCACATAACTAAAATAATAAAAAGACATTATTAAACATTATTAAAAGAAATTATGTATAGAGGAAGGTATGGTGCCCTATACTTACTCTGCCCTATACTCCTGAGGCAGGAACAGGAGGATTGCCTCACGCTGGAGGCCAACTTAAGCTTCATAGAGAGTTCCAGTCAGTCTGGGCTACAATGTGAGGTATACTCTATTTAAAAAAAACCCAACAAAAACAAACAAACAAAAAAAACAAAAACAAAGCAGAAGCTGGGTGGTGGCACGCCCCAGCACTCGGGAGGCAGAGGCAGGTGGATCTCTGTGAGTTCCAGACCAGCCTGGTCTACAGAGCAAGTTCCAGGACAGGCTCTAAAGCTACACAGAGAAACCCTGTTTCGAAAAGCCAAAAGAAAAAAAAAAAAAAAAGGAAGAAGAAGAAGCATAATTTAAAAACTAAGAAAGAATACAGACCTGTACCAAAGGGCTTGTGATCAGACCATTTACCAAGTTAAAAAAAAAAATTCAGGATTATTGATCTATTCATGTGGGGTTTTGTTTGCCTTTTTAGTTACCTTTTTCTAAATTTTGGATTGTTTGCCTTCTCAGAGGTATTTTCTGGCATGGTGCTGTTGGCGCATCTGTTCAATTTCTCCACAGGAGGGTAGCTGGGAACCAATGGGAACCTGGGGGCCTGGGATGATGGCTGCGCCCGCCTCCTCCAAGCTTCCTGCGACGCGGACGCGCGCGCAAGCTCGGCGGCGACGGCGACGCGCAGGGCCAGGCCCGCACTCCGGGGCTACGGTGGGCGGCGGCCTCGCGCCCCGGAGCCAGCGCGCACCCGGCTTCCTCCTTCCGGCGTGGCTACATCCCTGCACCCCGCGCGCCGCCAGTAGCGGCGCGAAGGCTTGGGGCGGGGCTGGCCTCCAGGACACCCGGGACGCCCACAGGCCCCGCGAGGCCGGAGCGGAGCGCCGGCAGCCGGGGAGGAGCGCGCGGGTACCGGCTGCACGGAGGGTGAGCTGGAAACCTGGGTTGGCGGGTCTCTGTGAGGTGCAGTCCCCCACCCCCATTCCGGGTGGACCGGAGGGTGATGGAATCGGTTTTCCCTGGCCAGCTACCTCGACGTGTGCTGGGGCGACTTAAAGACGTCCCTGGATGGAGAGCTTCCCGGGCAGAGCTTTCATCACTTAATTATGCAACGAGGCGACGTCCTTGTGCGGGATGCAGTGATGAATGGAATCAGTAATACTTGTACCGTCCATCATCTACCTCTGCCACCCTGGGCTGGGGATTTGCATTTGTAAATTGGGGTGGGGGTGGAAAGAGGAGAACATTTTCCGTCTTGGGTCCCGGGAGCGTGCGGGAGGGAAAAGAGGACGGGAGGGAGAAACCTGTGTAGCTTTTCCGAGTGAGCGCACGGTTGAGCGCGACTCCTGTGGCGCCAGGGGAAGGACCCGCTGGAACCGCAGGAGCGCTGCCAGCAGGTCCTGCGTGCTTCACCTCGGACTTTCTCCACCAAGAGGCCTGACAGAAGTTGGAGGTCTAGACATCAATTTCTGCACTTTCTGGCTGGAAACATGAAACAGGTTTTCCAAAGGCTGGTGCTTTTTTCTAAGTCTACTCCAGGCAGGAAAGGGCTGGGCGGTGAATACAAAGTAGCTCAGCCAGGTTCTGGTTAGCTGAGCAGCTGGATTGTCTAAAAAAATTGTCCTGACCAGACAGAGGCTCTGGGCCACAAGGAGTTGGGTCATTGCATTGGTCTGTTCGAATTGACAAGAGTGGGGAATGGCTCGAGACATTGTTAAAATGAGGCAGCTCAGCTTCATTCTGGCTTGCTGATCGCCAGCCAGGACTTCATCTTTTTTAGGTGAGTGGGTTAAAAAGAAGAGACACAAAGAGAAAATGGCTTTCTACCTTGCGACCCCTGGATATTCAGGACATAGGATATCTTGAAGCAGAATTGGGATTTCTGGATGAAAAGAAACATCTTTGCATGTTTGTTCTTGACCCCCAAAGAACAGAATCTTAGGGAAATACCTGAGAAAGTCTCTACTTCCCAGAAACGAAAATAGGGGTTCTTGTAAAACTGAAAGAAATTGTAAATATTCTGGGCCTTTTTCAGCAACAATCGGGTCATTTTTTTAAGCTTGAGGAGATTATACAGCAAAAAAAGCTATGAGAGAGCCTGGGTTATAGCGGGGAGAGAGGGCTATGAGAGACCTTATGGTCTCGAGATCCAGTCTGTTTTTTCCTCACACCATCTAAATTGTTCAAGATGTGTGACATGAGATGCCTTTAATTTTGACATTGAGGATTTTTTTTAGAATAAAGGCATTTTTTTTTTGCTAATTTTGCCAACAACCCTCTTAAATCTGTGATCTCTCTAATCCCTGGAGGTTGACTTTTAACCTGTTATTCACTTATCAAATGTCCTTTGTCTAGAATCTGTCAGGTGCTAAAGCCTGAAGGAACCTGGAAGCCAGGCTGTATCAGGAATATGGATGGTGCTGTCTAAAAATTATTTACCCAGTGTTGAACAAATGAGACAGTGGGATTGGATTGGTTTTTGGTAAAAATATTTCATTAATAATTTTAATTTTTCATACTAAACCACAGGATGACGTTTAAATAGCTAGCTCTCTTGGCACACTTGAAATATATTCTTGTTTATTAAAAAAAAAAATTCAGATGCTACCTGCTTTCTGTGAGGGACCTGTCACACAAAATACAGTTGAATAGTCCAAGTGACTGTTTCCAGTAGAAACTGAGTTATATTAAGAAAATTCACCTAACTTTCAGTGGTGCTTTTGTTACTTTGTTTTAGTTTTTTTTTTGTTTGTTTGTTTTGTTTTGTTTTGAGATGGGGTTTTATGTAGCCCAGCCTGGCTTCAAACTCTGCGTGCAGCTAAGGATGGCCTTGTTTTCTCACTGTTATTTTAAAATCATCCTACACAGGACAAGAGGAGCCCCAGACCTCAAGCAGGGCAAGAACAGCATGGGCATGTGACACCTTCAACCCCAGGCCGCAGATGGTTCGTGATGGAAAATGTGAACCCGTCAGGTATTTAAGATCATTGCTATTCATTATCCATAGGGCTTCCTGTCTCACGTGTATAGAGATTTTAGGGAACTTAAGCATCTGATGATGAATATGTGCATGCATAATTAGAAATGCCTCTTTAAATATACTAAGGGCACACACACACTCTGCAGCTAGCACTGAGTTGGTGCCCGGGTTGGGGAGGGGCATCCCGCACAGCTGTCCTGTGCAGGTGTTCACGATACTCCATCACTCATAGCTTCTGTGTTGACCGTTGTTGGATTTGTCGCTGGACAGAGTTAGGATGTGTTTTCATCCTGCTCAACGAAGGCAACCCAGCCTTCTAAAGCAGGGTCGGAAGGACTGCAGCAGAGAAGACAGAGAAAATTTCTGAACTCGGATCCAGAGAAACGTACGCTATGAATTTGAAGGCTCCGCGATCTGTAGTATAATTCTATAGGACAGGTTCATACACTGGCCTGTGCTTTATTAAGCTGTAATTAATAAATCTGGTGCTACCCTACAATTCAGAAACAAAAAGTATGACAGACAGATGATACCCCTATCATACCAGCCTTGGGCTCTGGTCCTCTTCTCCCCAGTGTCCTTCTAGGGGTGACAGCTCCTTGTTAGTACCAAATTGTGTGACCCTTCCTTCTGGTCTGGAAGTGTGAACACTGTATCTGTGACACCTGAGGTCTGTGTGATACGGTGAGGACCAGAGCTCCCGCCTCAGCCCAGAGGGCCCTCAGCGGCTCTGCTCCTCAGACCCTCCTCTAACCCCTCTTGCTCATGTTGTGCCAGGGACAACAGCCTCCCTGGAGCTTTCAGAATTCCAGACCCTAGACTGTGGCTTATTCAGCTCGTCCTGATTTGCTCCATCCCCCTTTTCACCAGTTTTGGTTTTAATAAAAAAAAATAATCTTTATTATATCAAATTACACATTCAAATATACAATTTCATTTTTTTTCCAGGTATTTTGTTCAACTCATTGTAAATAAGGAGCTGGTTTATAAAGTCTTGGTATGAAACGTAAAAAACGTTCAGGGTTCTTGGCGGGAAGGTGGGTGGAGAGTCTTCTTTTTAGTGTTTATAATTTATGCATGTTTTTATATTTATTTTTCACACACAAGTGTATATATGTGTATAGTGTGTGTGCTAGTATATAGTGTGTGTGTTAGTGTGCGTATATATATACATATAGTGTGTGTGTGTGTGTGAGAGAGAGAGAGAGAGAGAGAGAGAGAGAGAGAGAGAGAAAATACAGCACATGGAGGTAAATCAGTTCTTTCCTTTCACCATGTGGAAGTCACACAAATGCTTAAGCAGGGAGGTTACATTGAGCAGGACCTACAGTGTATGGCAAGCCAGCCCCTACTAAGTGAAAAGCTCTGACATCGTGTGCCGAAAGTCCTCAGAATCCTACCAGCTTGTGGAAAGGAGCCAGTCAATTGGGTGATAGAAATATATTCAAGTTTGGAGGTAGGCACTGGTATTTGTGGGCAAACAATATTCTGCTGAAAAGTAACTTAATGTCTTTTAAACTGAAAAGCAAAAAAAAAAAAAAAAAGAAAAAGAAAAAAATTCTGGGTCATCCATATACATCCTTAAAATATACATCCTATTTAACTGCAGAAATTTCCCCTCAATCTTTGAGGATATACATTCAGGACTAGTGAACTGTGGCAGAAAGAAAAAGACAAATCAACCGTTAGCATTCTGAAAACAAGAGTCTCATCTCAGCTGAAGAGATGAACTGTCGCCTCCCACCTTGTAGGACTAACAGGGAGCCCAGAATCTGGCCTTTCTATGTCATGCTGCCTGAACAGCCCCGCAGTGAGAATGACGATGCTTCGTTCTAGTCTCTCCAGGGCGTGCTCGCTCCCCTCCCCGCATTTATGTGTCTGTCCCTTTGACCTACTCTTGAATGATACAGCCAGCGTGTTTGCTGTAAGGCACCTAGCTGCTCCCAGTCCCCGGCTGTGGCCCATAGCCACTTAGCAGTTGGGGATACTGGAAAGACATCGCCATGCTACTGGAAGGCAAGTGGTCATTTCCAGTGTTGAGCTTCTGCCAAACCCACCTTCTATCCTGGAGGCCCCAGCCTCCCTGCTCTTATCTTGCTCTGTTGCTAAGCACAGATCTTTCACCTAGCAAGTCAGTCTCTCTATTAGCATTCAGGAATGGAGCAGGTTACATTACTACATTATGTGAGTCGCTGTGTTCTCAGGGGCTCAGATCAGCACTTGGCGACTATTACTGAGTGACTGAATGGCTAAAGCCTGTTTAAACATACTTGATTGGGCTTGCGTGCCATGGGACTTTTCCCGGAGCCTTTTCCTAAACTAGTGTGAGCATATTAAAAGCAGAGTGAAGGCTGGGATTAGATTTGATCACAGAGCAGGATAGGCTTCGCGCTTCAACAGGGGAAAAGCACAGACAGCTGAGAAAAGTGAATCTATAGGCGTCCCTCTTTTCAAATGCAGGAGAGGGGAGGGTTGCCTCAAAGACAGTACCTGCACTGTGACCACATTAGTAACTGCAGATGTTCATATGCACGCTGCCTCTCTTTAGAGAAAGAGAAGAGAGACTTGGACTTCTTGTGGGTTCTGCTGTATTTTTTCCCCCTCCCTTGCTTCTCCATCTAGTCTCCAGTTCTGCCTGTGGGTTTTCAGAGCCCACCCTCTGACTTGGAATCAGATGTTGGCATCTTGACATGTGTAAGTACCACTTAGTGACTGGAAAGAGGAAAGCGCTGAAGACGGATACGCCAGCTCCTGGGGGCTGAGGCTCTGTGTGCAGGAGCATACTGTGACCGGAGAGGTGTGGGTACACTCAGCTCTGCTCCCACCATTAGCTGGAAGTGGCATAGTGGGGTTGCATTGGCTCCTTGAACAATGGGGAGTTAATTACGGAGAATGTCAGGCTTTTTAAAGGCTATTTATCACCTGGTTACCGGAAAGCAGTGGCCTTTCATGGAACCCTGGAGGAAGGACTGCATGCCAGCTTCCAGCCCCCTTGCCGATGGACATTGTGAGCCTGGACCTTAACACCCTGGCATGGTGGCAAGCCTCAGGGAGAAGATTTATATTTAGGGGCACAGTGCAGAGGCTCAGAGAAGTGAGACTCTGGGGTGCTTTTTTGTTTAGAAAATAGGGCACATTGTCATAGGGTTTCTTTTCCCGTGGGTAGCAAATCTTAACTCCACAGAGTCGAGTTCTCTATAGATGGGAGAGCCAGAGAAGAGTGGAACAGAGACGCTGATGGAAGATGGTCTTAGATTCTAATTAAACGTTTCTCAGCTGTCTATTGAGAGCTGAGTAATTCAGAGTATCATTGGACTGCCATGGTTCCATAAGATTTTGCAGCCAGTCCTCTTTAAATGTAAGGAGAGTGCCTATTACTTTGGAATGTGCCAAGAATCTGCATTTTAACTAGATCCTGGGGAGGGGGGAAGTGGGGACAGGGCTGTTGGGGACACTGAAGTTTGAGGAGGCTGAGTGGGGTGGAGAGTGACTGGACCAGCAGTTTCCTGTCCTAGGTGCTTATGAGAGTGTTGTACAGAGCTTGGAAACCTGCTTTGGTGTCACCTCCATAGACTTGCCCATACCCAGGGCATCACTGTTTCTCGAGATCTCTGTAGTGATTCTAACGTGCAGCCAAGACCGACAACCACTGGCCTCAACATGAAGCCAGACTCGTTAGATAGATGCTGCTGTAATCACCAAGGGAGTCACATGTTGGTTAGCTAGACAAGCCTCTCTCCAGGACTCATCAAAGCCCTCCATTACTGTATACTGTTGGTCTTACTAGCTCCCTTACTGGTGCATGGGGGAGGGGCATGCATGTGTGCACATACATATTGAGGCCAGAGGTGAACCTTAGATGTCATTTCTCAGGCACTGTGTGTGTGTGTGTGTGTGTGTGCCTGTGTGTCTGTATATGCACCATGGGTATTGGGTGACTGAGGTAACCAGGAGAGGGTTAAGATGCCCCCTGGAACTTGAGTGTAGCTCAGCTATAGGCAATTGTAAGCCCCTGGATGTGTATGCCTACTGGGAACCGAACCTGACTCTTCTACAAGAGCATCAACTACTGTGCCATCTCTCCAACTCCTACCTTGTTTTCCTGAGACAGGGTCTTGTGTTAACCTGGAGCCCACTGACTAGGTTAGGATGTCTAACCAGTGTGCTCAGGAACCCTGCTGTCCCCGTCTCCTCAGCTCAGTATGCAACTTGGAAGCCAAGGTCTGGTTTATGCTTTAACTGTGTTCCCTTGGTTTACACCTTTTGCCCTTGTGCCTCTGTTAACCGCTATATTTTCTCACTGTACGCCCTGAGCAGGGAAGCTAAATGCTTAAATATTGTGTGTCTCCCCCTCCCTGTGTGGTGTGCCTGTCTGGTGAGCACCACAGGCCATGCAGTCTTCTTTGCAAGCCTGATTTAACTGCCCCCACCCCTGCCCCAGACTATCCTGTCATAGGGAAAAAGACTATCCTGTCATCGGGAAAAAGTACCAGCTTCAAATGTCAGATATGATTAAAAGACAACAGTCCAGACAAGTGGAGGGAGGTGCTCCAGCCGTGCCTATAACCTGGTTTCCTTTAAAGAAAGCCCACATTCAACAAAGCCACAGTGGAGTGTTTGGAAAGGGTGTTTGCTGTATTATTCTCTGCAGTTCATGCTTAATTATTTATTTTTCAAAGCACACAAGAATTAACCAAGGAAGGAAAATATGTATTTGCTCAGTGTTCCAGTGCCCATTGGCACACTGGCCAGCTCATCAGTTTTTCCTGGCTAGAAAAGTCCTTACCTCCTTTCCCCAAACTGCACATGGTAAAGAAACTATGGCTAACAGTAGTGAAGCAGAAAATAATTAAACAGCAGCTAAAAGCATCAGGGTACATGCGTGTTGGTGGCATTCTTTGACATTTTATTCATTTTATTGTGAGAAGGCTATGTGCAGTAGAAGAATCACATTTGAAGTATAAATATGTCTAAAGTAAAAGTGACCATCTCTCCATCTTCTCGGGGTACTACTCAGTGCACTATGGGTGTGCACATGAACATTGTCACATTCTCAAGTACATTGTGTGTGCATATTATTTTTATTAACAAATAGGATCAGACACCCGTCCTGTAACTCCCTTTTCTGCGTAGTGACGATATATGTTGGCACTGGGTCTATCCAATAGACTTGTCTTTTAGTATAGTGTTTTAAGTTTAAGGTTCTTGGACTCCAGCACGATTCATTAACTCTTTCACCAGCATTTTTAAAGATTGACTTTCTTTTGATTTACGTAGATGTCTGGGTCCCCATGGGTATGAGTATATGAGTGCAGGTGTTCGTAGAGGCCGGAAGAGGACTTCGGTAGGATCTCCAGGAGCTGGGGTTGTACAGGCAGTTGGGAGCTGCCAGACTTGGGTGTTGGGAGCCAAACTCAGGTCTTTGGAAGAACAGCCAAAGCTCTTGACCACTGAGCCATCTCTTCAACACAGCAGCGCATTTTAAGTTAGGTGGTAAATCAAGAACGTGCTCATAGGCTGACTTAGAAACTACGATCTGAGTTCAGTAGCACTGGTGTTCTAAGAGCTCTTGACGTTTCCTGACATCAGATATTGGCTAATAAATTGATATTGTCTCTCATGTAGAGGCTGGACCCCATTGAGTCTTCAAGGTGGCACCCTGCTTTAGAAAGATGGGAGAATAGGCAAGCTGCATCCTAGGGTCTGTGTTCATGAGGTGCTGCTCTAGACCTTGGTGCGTTAATCAGTTGTCATATGCTCACGCACCTGGAGGGGCAGCAGGCAGTGCCTAGCAAGAGCCCAGGGCAGCCAATGAGAGAAACCAATGTTGCGACACCAATAGGGCAGTGATGAGGGAAGCTGGCCCTTCCTCTCCTCGTGGTATAGGGAGCAGCTTGAACACCAGTGGTAAAGAGTCCATAGCAGGACGTGGGGTCATGGGTTAGTGCCGTCTAGCCTGGGCTTGTCTTGAGACACCAGCAAAGACTTGGCACTCCTGTTCTTTTTCAGAGGACCAGTTTGAACAGAGGCTTGAGTTTCTGCACATGAACTTTTTAAGTCCTCGTGCCCCACAGGAGACCCTTGTATATTAAGAAGCTCAGGAAATGAACTGGAAAGTGGTAGGAAGGAGGTAGGAGTTTTGTAATTACTTCTCTCCCTCCCCAACACCTGCACAGTAGCTGGACTGGGAAAGAAAGGGACCGTCTAAATATCAGCTCGAGGACATTTTACACACATCATTGCCTTGAAAATTATTAAACTTTTAGAAACTAAAGAGCACACTGAATGTTACTAGAAGCTGTGTGGCTATTGCAATACCCGGGCAGACTCTTCTGTGGGAATCTCAACACCTTGGCACATGCGCAGGTGGTAGTTTTATCCATAGAAACGAGAAATCTGGGGACCAGACAGCTATTCACAGCGAACCTGCAGCCACCAGCTGGAGGGCAAGGAGGATAGATATGCCCTGGTACCAGCCCAGCCAAGAACGCCTGGTTTAAGGCAGCCGCAGAGCAAGCATGACTGGACTTTCCAACCTGACTTCTCCCAGCAACACCAAGCTTCCTGCAGTGTCTGTGAAGCTCCCTGTTTCAGAGAAATCTTTATCTATCCCTTCCAGCTTCCTGTAGAGGTGGGTGGGTCCTGTGGCTACACCAAATCAGATCCCCTCAGAAGACCATTTCCCGCTGAGAATTATATTTATTAATATAAAACCCCTGAGATCCTGAAGCCAGGCACAGGGGTGCTCAGGGACCAGAATGCCCAGGCAATCTATGGGAAATGAACAGAGCGGGTACCAGAGTGGGCAGTACCCGGGGGTCGCCTATCACCTGCTGTGCAGAGTGAGCCAGTCTCTGTGTGTGGGGTGGGCAGTTCAGTTCTTATCTGTGTGTCCTCACTCACAGTACATAGCTCAGGAGAGAGTGGGCCGTTCGGCACAAGGGCCTCTTTGTTCCACACTGGACCCAGCTCCCGGAGACTCAGTCTGGCCTCTTTACTCCTCTGCTACTCCTTCAGCTTCTCTGCTGCAGGCTTTCTCAGCAGGACACCCCCTTTCAACCCTTGGCCACACCTCCTCCAAGTGTCATCGTCCTGAGGACAAGTTGAATGAACTCGGGACTCAAGGATCTAGCACAGCCTAGCCCTCGCCTATCTGTAGGAGGGAAAAGCAGGAAATCATCCGAGATGGCATCTCTACCCTCCTTCCCCGACTTCATGGGACACAGTACACTGCTATATTCATTTCCGGCCACCACAGTAGGACACAGGAATCTGCAAAGGGTGACAAGGGGTTGGCTAACCTGGTTTACCTAGGGCCTATAGTAGGAAGTGGGTGCTTGACCTGAACCAGTAGGTCATTCTTCAGTGACAGACAGGGTAGTAAGTAGGAGGACTAGGGGATAAGAAAGATAAAGACAGCGGGGGTCAAAGGTTCCTGTAAAGGCTGTGTCTTATGCCAAGCAAGCTTATTAAGAAGTACACTATTTTAGGGAGAAAAATGGAACAGAGTCAGCAAAAAGCCATCATGGGACAAAGCCAGCAGGAAGTTAATCAGTGTTGCACAAGGGGAACACAGGGTACCTCAAAGATGTCAGAGGGGAGGATGCAGCAATCTGAGGTCTGATAACCAGTAGCCCCTTAGGGTGGAAAAAGGTTCTCAAAATCCAGAGCCACAGCTCCCCCGAGGCCCTGGCGCCAGGCCATTTCTGGCTCTGCCAAGCATGTTCCTGGTTTAGAGAAGGAACTACTTTCTGTCTCCATACGTCTGGGCCTCAGGGAAAGCCTTGGGGTGATCTAGCCTACAGTATGTACTAGTTCTTTGTTGGCATAGCCTCATCTTGTGTAGGCCCTGGGAGGATGAAAGCCTCATGTCTGAGGTGGACTGTGGAGGTTGAGGCCTAAAGCAGGTGGCCTGAGAGGCAGCCTGAAGTCAGACACAGACTGGGATTAGAAATCCTCATTGCTCTGAGCCGCCCCATTGAGAAAGGAAGAGAGAGTGAAACTTTTGGGAGACTTTGGGTGGCCTACCTCAGGTAGTTGAGGGATTTGACATGTCTTCTAACAGGTAAACTGCAACCATTCAGTGAAATCTAAGTTTCAGAAGCGGCAAATGGTTTTTCACTCCAGGTGTGTCCATGTAACATTTAAGACATATCTAAAATATATGTGTTGTTTCCTAGAAACTTACCAAGGTATATCACATTTCTACATATTTACCCTGGCAACCTTCCCTGGGAACATACAGGAAACACTAGACCCAATATGTAAGCGCAGAAAAAAATAATAGAGATTTTGTTTGTTTGAGTAGATTCTGTAAATGTATTTATGTGAAATTGAAACTAAACCGAGGTCCTATATATTTATATAATTTTGCAACCATACTTGGAGATCCCAGTGAAAATACACTGGACCGCACATGTGGGTCCCCAAGAGTACTACTACAAGACACCCTGGGAAGGTACATGCAGCGTGGGAGGTGGCAAGCTCCCTGGCAAACCATATGCAGGCAGGGATGTCAGAGATTCACTCACTGGGTGCTGTGGAAGGAATTGGGTCTCAGATGCCCGGTTTCCGTGATGCTCCAGAATACAGCATTTGGGGAATAAGGAGGGTTATTATTTTCTGGGTCTTGGCTGAGCTGTGACCAGGCAGGGCTAGGAAGCAACTTCTGAAATCACTCACTGTTAGCAGCAGCAGACTGGAGACCATTTCTCTTGTCTATATTGATGGCTGACCTCAGTCAGCTGGTGCAAAGCAGCCCAGTTTGATCTCTTTGCATGGTCTAATCCTGCTTCAGGAAGTGCCACTTGACTGGAACATACTTGTTTGTCCCTCCTGCTGAGGATTGACGGTGGTTTCCTGGTTCCCTGTGCATCCTTGCGACAGGGCGACTTCTGTGATAGGCTGAGGACCGAGAGATGTGCCCTACATCACTCTCAGTGATAACATGCAGAGCACCGTCCCCCCCAAGTTCTACACAGGTCCTTGAAGGCAAATGACCTGAGGTTATGGAAGGACAGATTTATGGAAGGACAGATGATTGGTTTTTTTATTTTTTTTCTTATAGTCTCACGCTGTGGATATACCTTGTCCACCAGTCAGCGTTTGTAAACACAGCATCTTGTGATGGCCTCAGCATGGTGTCTGCACTCCAGGAATTGCCCAACAAAGATCTAGTCCAGTCTTTGGCAGTCCTCCTGCTGGTCCTCTCCTCCTTTCGGGCCCTCCTAGGAGCTTCTTGTGACCTGGGAGACAGGAATTGGGAGGCAGATCTGCAGTAGCACAGTCTCCTGGATTCCAGAACGATAGTTGCTCATTGTCATTCCCCTCCACTGGGTGTTGGAAGTTGACTTAATTATAAGATGGGCCCTTCAGAAATATTCATTAAATATGAAATGTTAAATTAAATGTCAAGTCAGAGTACTCACTCTAGCAAAGAAGAAGTGTTCTTAATGATTTGGGTTCTGTTAATTGAAATCACCAGTGTGACTTTTTTTTTTTCTTCAAGTGACAAAGGCATCTCACTTGTGTCTTCCAGGAAGGGTCATTGAATGGCTCCCGTTTGACAACATGCACCACCAGTGGCTGCTGCTGGCTGCATGCTTTTGGGTGATTTTCATGTTCATGGTGGCCAGCAAGTTCATCACGTTGACTTTTAAAGACCCGGATGGTAGGTATGCTTCATGGCAGAATGGGTTTATGGAAAGTGGAGTTCTGCAGCACTGTGCTCAGTCACCAAGCTTAAAGGACCTCTGTCCTGACCAAAGGTTACAAGTGGACTTCCAACATCTTCATATAACAGAAACCAGAGAGAGGAGGGGCAGGGAGATGGCCATGCTGAGGCCCTCCTGAAGAGGTTCTTTCTGGGTGACTGAGTCCCTGTATCACCTTTGGGATAGAGATGCTTCCTTCCTGCCGCACCTCTGAGCTCCTGGCAGCAAGGACTGTCACAGGCCCTGCCTCACATCCTGAGAAACCCGGCTGTGTTTGCTCAGAGTGGCAGCTGTTCCACACTGGTGACACGCGGTCGCTGGTTGTCCTCAGCATCCTGGCAGGAGGGTCATTTAAATGTGTGTGGTGAGGCTGTTGTAGGATCTCACTGCCCTTTACTAGTTGGAGGAAGATGACACAGGGCTAGGTTTGCTCTCAGGCAAGCTGCTTCGTGTTCTTGTCATTCGTTAACTTCGGCGTCTGCTTACAACACGGATGCGCTCCCTGCTCTGACGGTACCAGCTGAGGGTCTGGTTAGTGAAAGGTGGGCTGCCATGTGCAAGGAGTTGTGAGATGTTGCACTTCGGTTCTGTGCCACTTCCTCTGGGCCAAGTGGAGGAGCCAAGGAGAGGAGGGACATGGTTCATGTGGGGACAGCTCATTAGTGCTGTAGATTGGCCAGAGAAGCCGTTCCCGGGAGCTGAGCACAGTTGTGTGCCGCCTTCTGCAGCACACAGCTCATTAGAGGTACGTCTCTACCAGCAGAGTTCAACTCTTCCATCTAATGGCTGTGCTGACCTGAACTAACCTGTATCATTGTGTCAAACAGTAGTTTGACCACTTGGCTATAGGCTCCTTTTATATCACCAAGAACCCTGGTTATGGGCCTAGCTATTTTAAGGGCATCTAACATCCCACAGTTCTCTATCCTCTCTGTCCCACTTTACCAGCAGAGAGACAAAACTGGAAGCAGATATGGGGGATATGGAAGAAGAAGGAAACCCCAAAGTTAGCCCATATGGTTTACACTCAGGGATAATTACAGGCCCTTAACACCGGGCACCACCTGCCTGTCTTCTTCCTGAAATCCCTGGGAGAAAGTTGGCGAGGTTTGCACAACCCGGGGCAGGGGTGTTACGCTTGCTGTATTGGATCCCGGACCATCACATGGTGCTTGGGAGCTGGGGCTCAATCAGAAGAGTGAGCTTCAAGTCTTAGAGCAAGGAGGGAGTCTGAGCAGGATCTCAGTGTCACGGTTTGGAGATTTTAGCGATGACAGCAGCCAGTGTGGTGATCTCTCATGAAGGCAGAGAATTGTTTTCATCCTGGAGGCATTTCACAGTCAGCTGCCATGTTCTGTGACCTTCTCTGATGGCACAGATAAAAGTCAGATTTCTGAGATGGGAACCAGCCCCAAATGTGGAACAGCTAAAACACCAAGAAGAACATGTGATTTCTGATCCCTAGATATTGTCTCTCAGTAAGGAAGGCACAGGCACGGCAGGGAGACTCACACGATTCAATTGTCTGTGGTTTAGTTTGCTTTAAAAGCCAGGACGGTGTATACTGTATCTCAGTGAGACATCTGTCAGACATAGTTAAATGACACACACCTTCCATTCTCGCCACTCTGGAAGCCCGTGCTGGGGATTCACCTGTGAGTTAGAGACCAGGTAGAGCACACGTGAGGCCCTACCTCAAAAGAAAAAAAAAAGCAAAAAAATAAATAAAACAAAGCAAAGCAAAAATAAGAATTAAAAAACACACTCTTGCATTTTAATGTTCTCTGACAGGAGCTTTTAAAGAACTCCTTCCCAGTGGGCTCTGGTAAAGGCAGTTTCACCGTCCTGGGAGGTAGCAGGGCTTGTGCTCACTGCTCTCAGAAGGGCAGAGACCTGAACTGCAAAAATTTAAGAGACACTGAAAGTAAAAAGCCAAGAAGGAAACTTATGAGCCTTCCTTAGTAGAGGTCAAAGGACAACTTGTGGGGGTGGTTCTTCTTTTCCATCGTATGAGTCCCAGGGATTGAGCTCAGGTCATCAAGCCTGACAGCTGGCACCGTTCGTTACCCACCAAGCCACCTGTGGTGGTTTGAAAGGAACCGGCCCCCCAAAGGAGGTGGCACTTCTGGGAGGTGTGGCTTTGTTGGAGTCGGTAGGCCTTGTTGGAGGAAGCATGTCACTGTGGAGGCAGGTGTTGAAGTCTCAGTTTCACAGTCGACTTCCTGCTGCCTGCAAGATGTAGGCCTCTCAGCTACGCCAGCACCGTGTCTGCCTGCCGTGTCCCACCATGATGATAATGGACTAAACCTCTGAACAGTAATGTTGTTGTTTTAGGCCTTTGCTCTTTGAGGAGCCCACCACCCAGATCCCAAATAAACCACACCAGAATCTTATTCTTCCTTATAAATGCCCAGCCTTAGCTTGGCTTGTTTCTAGCCAGCTTTTCTTAACATAAATCATCCCATCTATCTCATGCCCATGGGCTTTTTCCTTTCTCTATTTCTGTACACCTTTCCTTACTTCTTACTCAGGTCTATGGCTTGCTCTGTAGCTGGGTGGCTGGACTCCT